AATTGAAAAATCAAATTAACGTCTCCACGTGTTTCGCACTAACAATTCGCAAAAATAAAAGCCGTAACAGCGGAGAACAACACTTAACTCAAATAACGCGACTTTTTATTGGATTCTTGCTGGTCTTCCGTACATTTGAATTACAGCCATTTTATAGACACAAAACAAAAACCATCTGATTTATATATATATATATATATATATAGTGGTCGTCTTCCGATTGTTATAAGCTAGGTACCTCCACGAGATCGCTAAAAAAAGAGCATAGCATGATGAAAAAGACGCCAAACTTGACGAAAACAAAATTTTATCGTCTAAATGTTTGTTATTATTAAGAGGAAAGGTCAAAGTATTTTGGGGGTATTTTTTTCCATTTTTTAATCGTTCCTAGCACGTCCAAAATTTTCGTTAAAAATCTAGTTTTTTTTGAGTCAGCAAAATTGACCATTTTTTTCCATTTTAAAAAAAACTGGAAATCTGACTTTGAAATTTTTTTAAATATCAATTATCATTTTTTCAAAACTTATTTTAAGAAAATCAGAAATTATAATGTTTATTTAAAATATTTTGAACCAAAATTAACTTAGCTTTTGTGCCAAAAAGATGTAATTTGAAAATAAAACAAAGCAGGTCATAAACTTTCGCGTTTCTTGACATGTGATGAATGATATATTTACGAATCCCATGAGGCTAATTTGTTCTACGGAAGGAGAAAAGTGAAATAATTTACATTTACGTGAACAAATTATTTACCCGTTATTTTTTAACTAAAACTTTCAGCGGTCTAATTTTTTTTTTTTTGTTACTTAGCTTTCACCTTTACGTTTATGATGCTTTATGGGAAATATATTGTAAAGAAATTAAAATAAAACTGTTAAGAGTGACATTAAATTTCATATTTCTTAAGAAAGGTATCTAATTAATTTATAGGTACCTTACTTATGAAATTTTATCAGAATTGGACATAAAATACTATAATTTTATGTACATTTATTACATTCTACTGTTATTTGTATTTGCATTCATTTTATTATTAATTTTGATATTTCATTTATGGAAAAATGTCGTAACTGAGATTAATATAAAAATAAGATCATATAAATTTCATAAGATGATACTGATACTTGTAGGTACCCTTTTCAGTTGAAATTGAAAAAATCAAATTAACTTCTCCACACGTGTTTCGCAAAAAGTAAAGGCCTTAACAGCGGAGAACAATGCTTAACTCAAATAACGCATAACTTAATTATATTCTGGTTGGTCTTCCGTATTTTATAATTACAGCTCGATTATAAGCACAAAATTACATTTCTTAATTACTGGGGATCTTCTGATTAGTCAAAATGATACAATTTACAAACGAGCTAAAAAAAGATCTATCTCATAAGGACACTTATGAAAGCCGATGCGGCTTTTTTAACTAATGTTATAATATTTTAACAACTTAAATGTAAAATCTATTATAATTAATGAAATAACAAATAATTGTATTAAAAATTCATTTTTCATCAAAAAAATTTTTTTGCTTTCAGAAAATATTGTCCATATTCATAAAAACAACTAAAAGCAAATAAAAGCATTTGAAATTAAATAATATCTTTGTTTTATTGAGTTTTGTATGTTACAATTCAGAGCTGATTTTCAGGTACTGCGTATCCAATTAAAAACAAAAACAAAAACAAAAACATGATTTGCATTCCTCAAAGCCCTGTGCTTTTAATTATTGTACACTAAAACCGATGCGATCGAATTTCTAGCGTTTTCATAAAATTAGTTGGGGGGTAATAAATATTTTTAAAAAATATTTCTACCATGATTTTCATAAAAAAAAACATTTATAATAATTTCGATCATCTGTGAATAGTTTCTGAAAGTTTCATTAACATCCGATAATTATTTCTATTTTTGCACGATTTTTCAAATTAATGTGTGTCATACCAAAAAAAACGTGCTAAAAATTGTCTATGTTATTTACTAGTTCCGCTGATACAAATAGAAAAAAGGTTTTTTAATCAAAATTTAGAATGTTCTAAAAGAAGGAAAAATTTTTAAAAATAATTAAAAAAAAAAAACTTTGGTCTTTCCTCTTAATAATAACATATGCATTTAGACAATAAAATTTAGTTTTCGGCAAGTTATGCTCTTTTTTTAGCGATTTCGTGGAGGTACCTATTATAAGCTATACAACTTATAATTCTAAAAGATAGATATACTTTTAACTTAATTAAACACCGTTTTACTTTTCACTAATTTTTTACAACAGCTTTAAAATAATTTAAGAAATAACAAATAATTGTTTTAAAAATGAATTTTTATCCGAAAAGTTTTTGCTTTCAGACAATAGGAACTAAAAGCATTTGAAATTAAATAATATTTGTTTTATTGAGTTTTTTGTATGTTACCAATGCCTTGTGCTTTTAAAATTAATCACTAAATTGAGAAGTATTGAATTTCTAGAGGTTTAAAATTAGTTATGGCAGGGAGTGATATAAAAAAATATTTTTGGCATGACTTTAAAAAAAGAAAACATATTTATAATAATTTCCATCATTTGTGAATAGTTTCTGAAAGTTTCATTAACATCGGACAATTATTTTTGCAAGATTTTCCAAATTAATGTCTGTCATAGTAAAAAAAAAAAGCGCCAAAATTTTATGTTATTTAGTAGTTCCGCTGATACGAAAAGCGAAACAAGTTTTTTTTTTTTTTTTTTTTTTATCAAAAGTTGTAAAAAGAAGGAAATTTTTTAAAATTAAAAAATATTTTGTTCTTTCCTCAAACGATAATTTTGTTTTCGTCAAGTTTGGCGTCTTTTTCATCATGCAATGCTTTTTGTTTGTGTGATTTCATGGAGGTACCGAAGCGAATTTATTTTTTATGTGTTGGTCGGAAAACTTCATTAACTTTTTTGTTCTTTAATCTCGCGTATGAAAACCGATACTTTTTTCAAGTAGAATATATTTTAAAAGAAAAATTGATGAGGTAACATCTACAAATTACAACAAAACAGATATTAAAAAAATTCATGTTTTTAAACACAATTGAATTAAGTTAACAAAGGATAAAGTTGTGACCGACAGAAATGTTTCAATGACACAAGAAACTTTTAAAGGTTTTTTTTTCTTTTTATAACTGTTAATGCGTAAGTTTAACAATTAAACACAAGAAGAATAGACAAAAATGGTCTTCGTTATCTTTATTCCAATTCCTTTTTGACATGTTTGAAGAAAATATTTACCACTTGTAAATTTATTTTCAAATAATTCAAATTCTTTGTTACATAACAGACATTTTTGTCCCATAAAAAATCTTACTTAAAGAACATTACAAAAATTGTGCAAAAGTCAAATAAAAAGGATTTAACGAATATAATTAATAATTCCTTATTATTTCTCATTTAAATAAAACTATAAAAAAATGGGAAAAATAAAACTGCATATTATTTTCTGGGTGGTCAGTCGTACACTCTCCTCGTTTCATTCAATTTATTATTTTTATTAGATTTAATAATTGTAACGTGAATAAACTCGAATTTACTTTTGGCGAGACAAGTATCATTCATTTAAGAAGTTACTCGCCTGGCTGTTGCTAAAACAGTAGAACTTGTCCGATGTTATAGGCGCCTCATTTCTTATTTAGCACCATCATGAGAAATGCCAGAAAGTATACAAGACTCAGTGTCTAAATGCGACAGAGTCGGTCTTCTACGTTTAAAAGACAAATTGATTTCTTTTTTTAAGTAAATTCACTTTTTCAAAAGAGGCATAAAATGAAAAGTAAATCCAATTCTAGAGGAATACCTTTGAAAATGAATGAAATTTTCTTCGCAAAAAATAATTCATCACAAGAAAAAAGGATAAAATAAAATACGGCACACTTTTAGTTTTACTTTATAAAAACATGTTTCCCCACCCACGCCACTTGCCATATCTTACAAACTATTGTATTGTAGAAATTCCCAACAGCTGTTCCTAAAAAAAAAAAGTAGTAATAATTATTTAAAAAAGAGAGAGAGATTTGTAAATTGCTTTTTATTTGAAAAAAAAAAAAAAATCATTATTTTACGAATCGAGCAAAAAAAAAACAAACATTCGACAAAAATATCCATTTATTTTTTTTTGGGGGGGGAGTCAAAATAGTCATTTTCATTTTATTTTTTTTTTAATATTTGATGGTTTTTTTGTTTGTTTTTTGGAGGGGGTTTTTGTTTTCGTTTTTTTTTTGTTTTTTGCGAGCGCACAAAACTGGTGTCAGGAATTCCATAGTCAATGATACTTTGCTACTTTTTCTTTTCTTTTAAAAAAAAAAAATTGGTAGGAACAACTTGGATGATGAAATTTGACAATAAAAACGAAAGAATAAAAAGCTATGATCAACAAATATAACAATTTTTCATCCTCCTTTCAGCTAGTTTAAAAAAAAAAAGCGTAAAGAAAGCGCACCTTTTATTAATTTGTGGTTAGGCCTTAAACAATAATTTATTTGTTTTTTTTGTTATTGTTTTTTTAAGTAAATGGGATTTATCACTTAAGGCAATAAAATGCACAATTAATGCTCAGGTGGAAGTTATTAAAATTATTATTATTTTTAGTCAAGGCCTCAATTAAAAAATTATTTTTTTAACGCGGAAGTCACTTAATCGGGCACCGGAGCTTTAAAAAGCGCGGATCTTATTTTAATATGTTTTTTTTTTTTTTTTTTTATCAATGTTTACAAAATGTATTAAATCCGAGCACAATGCAAAACAAATATACATAAAAAAAATATATAAAATGAAAAAACAAAATGTGTTTGAAGTATTGTTTAAAAGAAGATATCAGTAAAAAAAAAAAAAAATAAATAAATCCCCCACCCAAAAAAAATCATTTTAATTTTAAAAATGTTATTTATTGCACGTGGACCTTAAAAGAACAAAACTCATATAATCTCTATACAGCATTTTAAAAGACATCCATAAAATTAACCTCATAAACCTTTTTAATAGCAGTTAATGTACTTACGTTTTGTTTTTTTAGCATTCTTCGGTAATATCTATGTTCAAGTAACAACAACAAATATTTATCTCCTCAGCAGCCGGGCTTTATTTCTGCTTGGAGATTAAGTGTCTAAGGGACATAACTCAATGTATACGAGAATTGAAACAAGCAAATACAAAAAATATTCATTATTTGCGCATGGGCGCGCGCACACACACACTAACATTTGCTATAGAAAGCAAGAGGAGCGGTATGGACATAGAACTCAACATTTATGGTGACAGTCAGTTTCACAGCAAACTCGATCATAAGACCATACTTTGATGATCGCTTAGGATGTGAAACTACCAGTCACTATGCAATATTGATTTCTATGTCGACGCTGTTAAAGCATTTTTATTTAAAAATGTATTTTTAATTATTTTAAGTATTCTAATATTTTATTGGATTTTATTTAGGTACCTCCAACAATTCGGTAAAAAATCAGTATAGCATAATGATAACAGGTCCGAAACTTAATAAAAACAAAGTTTCATCATTAAAATGTTCATGTTATTATTAGGAAAGAACAAAGTATTTTATAAATATTTTTTTTTAAATTTTCTTCTTTCTAACACGTTTTAAATTTAGGTCAAAAATCTCGTTTTTTGGGGGGTTTTTTTTGTTAAAACTTGTGGTCATCGCCATTTTTAGTGTTGCAGTTTCGGGGGAAAACCCATTCATTTTGAAATTATTGCAAAAATCAAATAATTGTTTAATTTAAATGAAACTTTCAGGGCTTATTCAAAAATGAATTAGTTTATAGAATCGTCAATGTTTGTCTACTCACCCCCGTTAAAAGTAGACTCTTCTATAAGAATTAGCTTTGACCAATCAACACCGCACATTGTGAAACTCGGCTTGTGATTGGTCGAGACGACCCTAGAATGTGTATCCATGGTCAAAAATCTGTTTTCCCACCAGGCCACTGCGAGCCTACTTTGGTTTCCCAAACTAAATAAAAGGACGGAATTCAAACCAATTCACCGATTCCACATTCGGAGAGATGCCAACTAATTCAAACTTTGACTTTCACGCGCGAATTAACCTCTGACTCAACAACCTAATGGTTTACTCAATCTCTCTATCAAACAAACTTCTCAAAAATTCATTTACTTTACTTGAGAAAGTGAAATATATATTCATTACATATTAGTAACAGTAACAAACAAAACTTTCAACAATTAACAGTTCAAGGTACGCAACTTCGTACAACTTAAGAATATTTACAATAACACTCGTATACACACATTAACATTTGAACTGAAAAATCAAATACTTTTGTACGTTGAACAGCAAACTGTTTAATTCTTACCATAAATCATCAAAACATTGATTTAAGCATTCAAACATACTCTACAACAAACTACATGTTACAACACCAATATACAACAAATCACCAACTCATTTGTATATATTTAAATTGTAATATTATATTGTTATACATTCAACTTTTGTCTTGTTTTTCCAACTTTATTTGCATGATTTGTTCTAAGTAATTGTTGTGGACGAATGTTTTAGAACACATCCTCGAAATTCCTTCTGATTAATAAAAACACAATCACCAGTCTGCAACAAATTTATTTTTGAAATTTTCATTTTGAGAAAATCTTGGTAAAAAATATATATATATATATATATTTTTACATCTGTTAATTCCAGATAAATTAATTTTATAGAATTTCAAAAAGTTCGTAAACTTTTCTTTCTTATAAGCAGGACTCCTTGGAGAAGTTAAATAATCAATTTTTTCTCATAAGTGACATTATGGTTAAAAGGTCACGTGTTTCAAAGCTTGTCTCTTCCTTGGGCAAAGCCCCTTGACATAGGTCTTATCTTACTCTCAGTTATTAAATTAAATTGAGGTAATAAAATTATCTCATTTATCAATTTAAACAATTAATAACTCAGTGAGATATTTTAATTATTAATATAATAATTTTATTAGTTATTAAATTAAAAATGTAATATTAATAAAATTAGTTATCGTTATCTTAGCTATTAAATAATGAAAGAGCTGAAGTAACTCAATAATGTAAGAAATTTTTATAGTATTTTAATTTAAGAAACAAAAAATCCGTTATGTCACTTTTGGTGCACCGTACTAAACCTGTCAACACATCAGTCATCAAATTATCGGTGGAGACGTGAAAATAACAAGACCCCGACGTCTAGAAGATTTTATGCTATAAGTGATTTTTGTTTCAGAACAGATTAATAACTTTAAATTTACTAATTTTACGAAAGTGACGTTTCAGAAATGTATATCTTATTTTAGGGGGAATTTTAAAACTGAAAAATAAGTTCGTTTACATTTCACTAAAAAAAGTTAAAAATAGCCGTTTCGTTTTTTTTTTTTTTTTTTTCGGAAGCATCGACTAAAAATCATTCAAATTTCTATTTGAAATACTTTACAGTATTTTTTTTTTTTTTTTTTTTTTTCTGGAATTAGAAAATTTAAGCCTTTAGCTTTCAACTGAAGTGGTTGGAAAGCTTCGAAAAGAATTTTTCTTTTATGAAAAATACATTTAAACTTTAGGTATACCGAATTTTTGGAGGTAACTAATTATACTTTGAATTTAGTCTTTCTTTCGAAAATGTTTGTTGAAGATGTTAGAAAATTACCAATAAATTTTAAATTTACTTTTGTTACCGCTTTTATTTTTTTTTAGAATGACGTGTATGGACGTCCGTATTTACAAAAATTGACACGTTTATACACACAAAAAATCAAAATTCTTTTTAAAATATTGTCATAAGCTTATGTTTAGTAATTTTAATTTATGATTAGTAAACTAGTAAATTTTTATAAGTTTTTATTTAATAACAATATCACTTAACATACAAATTAATACAGAGTTTTAAAAAATTTATAAGTTTATAAATTATTTTAATTACAATTATTTAAAAAATGAAAACAGTTCTTGTACATATTCATTATTCATCGAAAAAATGTTTTTCTTAAGACAATAGTGTCCATAATAAATCTTATTCATAAAAGCAATTAAAAGCTTTTCTAATTAAATAATTTCATAGTTTTATTTATTGTAATTTTTTATTTTACGATTCAGAACAGATTTTCAGTAACTGCGGTTCCTGTTTGATAAAAGAACATTTTATCCGAGGACTTGTTGTTATACACAATATAGAAACATTAATAAACGCGACAAAAAAATTTCATAAAATTAAATAAATTTGTAAAAACCTATATTTTTACCAATATTTTCGGTAAAAGACTTCATTTCAGAAATCATTCATGTGTGAATAAGTCCTTACCATTTCCTTAGTTAAAATCCAACAATTATCTGATTTTTGCAAGAATTTCCAAATCAACGTTTTTCACCGCAAAAAGACACTCAAATTTTCCGTACTATTTTATGGTCCCCCGCTGACACCAATGAAACAAAAACTTTTAACCAAAATTTCGAAGTTTCAAAAAGTTGAAAATTAAAAAATAATTTTTACATAAAAAAATCAATTGGTCTTTTTTCTTAATATAATTTAACAAAGATTTTGACAATAAAACTTTGTTCTTATTAAGTTTCGGATTTTTTTTTTTTTTTATATCATAGAAGTGTATGAATCCGTCTCCTCAGGTTTTTGTTAAATGTCAAAATGCGGATTGTTGGGATTCCATACAATATCATAAAATATTGTTACGGGATTGCTCGCAATTTGGCCGTTTAGAATAATCCTACGATTTTCATGGAAAGAATAAAATCCAGTAGAAAAAGACAACGTAGTATCAACAAATAAACATTAATTTAATATAAGTACAAGAAGTCGGTTATAGATTTGAAAATCTTTTAGTTTTGGTTAATAAAGTTCTGGGATAGAATATAAATTGTATTTGTGTACGTATGTAAGAAACAATGAAATGTTATATGTGTGTTTGTGTGAAAGAGTCAATACGTGTATTCATGCTTAGTAGTAACGGAGATGCAATTAGAATTTAGCACTTACTGCGAACTGTGGTGCTGTAGTCTGATGTGTCCTCTTTGTAGTTTATCAGCGCTGTTGGTTTTTGCGTGTGGGCGTGAATGAGGTCTTGAAGATAATCAGCTAAAGTGACGTGGACCTTGGTGACATCTGTGCGCCTCTTTTTTGGGCCGTATTTCGTGATTTTTATACACTTTTTGGTAAGAACATCTGCTCCAGAATTGTATCATTTATTTCTTCCTAATTGGCGCTAAAATTAACAATTTCGAGCCATTATCCATCATATCACCTGCACACCCAAGCTTACTGCACCTGGTATTGCCAAGCGGTCACTCATTAAGGTATTGACTAAGCTTAACTTTGGTATCGTACGGGAACGGGTGTTTCAAGGTGATGTGGCCGTAATACAGAAAGGAAGCAACCTCGATACACCCAAATAGACCGGCGGAAATTAACTGGAGAAAAGAGAAACCTTTGCTGCATATTCCGAAAATAAAAGAGAGCGAAATTTTTTTTTCAAAATTACTGTTACTAAGGAGCCACAATTCAGCGTGAGTAATTTTTTCAATAAACACAAGAAAATACAAAGCCACATCAAAGCATCTTTGCAATTATGTTCCATATATTTAATCATTTTGTTCTCTTTTTACATTTAGCACTTTTTTCAGGAACACTCACACACACGCGCAAGAATAATAGGCAACACACAATTTAGACTATTTTCACCATGTCTAAAGAAAACAGTATATCAACATAAAAGTCACCAGTATTTATGGAAACTAGCACAAAAGGACGGCTCGCTATAATAGAATCACAGGGCTTTTTAGGGAAAGAAACTTCCGAAGAAATAAAATTCTATATGGTAATTAGTGTCTTAGCTGCCAGAAATAGTCACTAGACTCCCATTCTCCGTAGATGAAAGAATCGGTTGTGTCAATGTACGAAAATACTAAACTAGAATTACTAGAAAGCCTGATGAAAATCACCGTAATAACGGGTCGGCCAACAGTCTTTTTTGTAATAGATCTTGCCAATTGCATCGGTGTAAGCGAAGAAATAGCACG